CAGGGATTGGACTTGATGGCCTCCCGAGGGCGCTTGCAACCCTAATATTCTGCAATTCTAGTCTATGCACCTGATGATGCAATGAGCAGAAGGGGGTGTCTGCCTTTCTGCTCCTCACTGTGTATAAAGATGTCCAGAAAGGTGTGTTTAAAAAACCTCTCCCCTTAGAAATAGCTGGAACATCAAGTCTCGTCTTCATCACTTTGGAGGAGGCTCCCCTGGGTGCCTCTCAGAGGTGCTAGAAGCTATTCCAGCCCACGTTAGAAGGGATAAGTGGAGTTGACTCTCTTAGATGTTAAATGTAACACAGTTGAACAGTCTCAATTAAAAATCCCTTCCTTAATTAACCAGCTTTCACTTCCTCGGTATGAGAGATGTTGCAGGAGTTGCTAGGTTGGATCAGACCTGGGGATGATAAATTTCCATTCATCAACTCATTGAGTATTTCCATCGACTACTCGATTAGTTGGTAAGGAGGGCTCTCTCTATCCCGCTGTGCCGCTCCCTTCGAATGTACAAGAGCTGCCTGCGACTCTTGTACATTTCAAAGGGAGAGGCACAGCACCAGGGATGCCTCTGCCTCCCCTACCCTCTGCAGAGATGGTGCTGGGGGAACCGGCTTTTAAGCTGATTCCCAACCAGCTCCTGCTTCCCCTCCTTGCTGCCTCTCTCTGATAGACAGCAAGGGTGGGGAGGGTGAAGCAACTAGTTGAGTGACTACTTGACTCCTACTTGATAGCTGACTAGTCACTTACATCCCTAATCAGTCCACCTGGTCCAGTATCTTGGATCCAGCAATGGCCAGTGGCAGGGCTTTCAGAGGAAGGAGCAGACCCCACCTGCCACCAGGGAAGTCTGTCCCTAGTCCTATTTATGTAGAGTTTGTTTTGGACCTTTTCAAGACCACGTTGTTCTAATGGTGTCCTCTTGTTCATCTCCAGTTATCTTTTTATTCGGGACAGTCTGGCTGGTTCTGCAGCTGGCCAGACTCTCCTAGTGTAGGCAAGATTACATTTTGAGGTGTCACCAGTAAGACAACTCTTGTTGGGTTTTTTTGGGAAGTTTGGGGAAGAATTAACTTTCAGGCCTTTCTTCCAAGGAAGAGTAAGTAAGACAGAAGTCCATTTTTTCCCATTTCCAGTGGCCTTGAATTCATGGGGTTATATGCTGAAAACCATGTATTGTTCCTTGAAAACAGGGGTTCTCAAACTGGAAATCATGACCCTTGAAGGGGTCGCAAAGTTATTAGATGCGAGGGGGAGTTGCGAGCTGTCCGCTTCCACTCCCAAACCCTCTTTTGACCCCAGTATTTGTAAGTGTTAATCATTTTTAAAAATGCTGCTTTTAATAGATAAAGGGTTTCAGTTCAGAGCCTTGCTGTCTGAAAGTGGTGGCCAAACCGAAAGCATGAGAGACTTTCCTTTAAAACAAGGGACTTATGGATGTCTTAGGGCTGCAGGTTAACCTTTTTCTCTCCTTAATCCATTTTCACAACTAGAAAAACATAGGCCCTTATCAGTGCTGAATGAGATTCCTTGTGTGTCCCAAGGTTAAGGTTAGGGGGAGGGATAGCTCAGTGGTTTGAGCATTGGTCTGTTAAACCGAGGGTTGTGAGTTCAATCCTTGCGGAGGCCATTTAGGGATTTGGGGCAAAAATTTGTCAGGGTGGTACTTGGTCCTGCTGTGAAGGCAGGGGACTGGACTCAATGACCTTTCAAGGTCCCTTCCAGTTCTAGGAGATAGGTAATCTCCATTATTTAAGGTACACGTCTGTTTAAAGCAGCAGCAAGTGGAGGGTTTCTTGGAATAGTTTCTCTGTGCATGCCCCTAGATAAGGTTCCCTAATGATCTGTTGATTGTGCTTCTCCCTACTCCTTGGCTGGTGCATGAAAAGTTTGCAAAGCAGAATGGGGCAGGGGATGGACAGGGTTAGAGTTCTCAGGGCTGCTGGAGGTCTTGTTAGGGTCCCAAGGATGATGTGTGGCTTCCCTGAACTTCCTCTGGAATGCAAGATGACTCAGGATCGAGCAGACCCAGCGTTTAGCTCAGATTGCAGCTTGTGTTGCCAGAGGAGCAATTTCAGTGTCCTGAAACTTTGAACCAACAGCTTCAGCTGCCTCCTGCAATGGCAGCAATGGCAGCTTGCCCTGGCTTAAGGGATAAAATACTTGGCTTTGCCTGCCAAGTGTTAGTGGAACATTGGGCTTTATACAGCTCCTGGGGAGGGAGGCAGCTAAGAATCTGCTTTTCCATTTTACCAACTCTCTCAGACGTGGGGCCTGGAAAACCTACAGGACCCAGGCTGCTCTAGTAGCCACCATGTGTCTGTCTTAGCCGGACAGCGTGTCTCCCCTGGCATCAGCAGAGTTCACCTGAGGTGGCTGGGAGGCGCCAGTCTGTTTAATTGATTTCACAGGCTTGAGCAAAGCTTTTCGGTGGGCCGGTGATGCTGAGCCCAGTTCACTGTCCTGTTTACATTAGGGATGTAAAATCCCATTTACTCAGTTAACTGGTTAGACATTAGGTTTAGCCATGGGCAGGGGCTGCTCTGGCCAGGCTGAAGCACCCGGCATCAGGCCCCTCTGGTCTGGATCCAGCCCCACCTGGTTAACCATTCACCTCCCTAGTTTAAATTGCCTACCGAGGCGATAACCTGGCGAGTAGCAAGCGAGGTGCCGCTCTCCCAGTGAAATCTGCGTGCGCTGACGTCTGTGACTCCTGTAACGTTGCAGACGCCCACCCTGCGGTGGAGAGCTGGCCCAGTCCATGCTGCCTCCACGGTTGGGAGTTTGTCGAGGTGCGAGGCAAAAGCCCAGCACGGGTCCCCACATCTCTGACTGCAGTTCGGGTGTAGTGGGACTGTGGATTCACGTGGGGAGTAGGGTATCTGTTTTTCTCGGATGGAAGGCCGCATGGGACATTCTTCCCCTGCCACGTCTGGTGGGGGCAGGAGGAGAGCAGGAAGCGTGGGAATATAAAGATGCAGAGATACTTTTTGTTTTGTGTGGAGTTTTTTTTATGCTCAACAACTTTGGGCCCCCCCTTTTTTCCTCAACAGAATGTTTTTTCCTTGTGTGTTTTTTTTTTTGGGGGGGGGGACGGGGACTGGGGAGAGAGGGGCTTGTCTTGTGGCTGGAACAGAAAAACAAAATGGCCACCAGCAAAAAAGCCTTTTCTTAAAGGGGCCATGCTGATTTTTTTAAATTTTTTGTTGTTGTTGCTTAACTCTCTGGGTCCCTTTTTTGGCTCTACAACTTTTTGGCTCAGCAACTCCCCCCTTTTTTTCAATACAATTTTTTCTTTGGTGTTTTTTTTTTTGGGGGGGGGACGGGGACTGGGGAGAGGTTTGGTGTTTTTGGTTAAACCATCTGGCAACCCTAGTGGGGAGATGGTCATGTTTTGATGCATTTCAGTCAACTGGGACATAGCCAGCTTCCCAGGAGTCTGGGGAGGAGGAGGTTCTCTGAGGCTCTCAAGTCAGACTTCAACCCACTGGATGCTGTTAGGCCTAAGGGGCGGGGGATGTCTTCCTTTTGCATGGTCGTATCTCCCGTGCCGTGGTGGCAACACGTACGGAGCCGGTCTCAACCGGACGCTGCTGCTTTCCAGCAAGGCTGGGCATGCCCAATGGCAGTGCCACCGTGTTTCTTCTCATAGGAAAGTTGTGGTGGGACAAGTGAAAAACAAGCTGCTTAGCACTTTTGGGAGAGGGCACGCTTGCAGCTTCTCCTGCCCTGGCCCTCGCTCAGATGAAGTTGTTGGGTGTCTGACCTACTTACAGACACAGTGGTCGGTGGGTATGAAACCTGGGACCCACGGTACAGGTCTGCCACTTGAGTAACTTCACCAGTGGTACCTAGACTAGGGATGTCCACGTGTCGTCGACTACACGCACTACCCTCCCCCCTTGCTGCTTCTGTATCAAAAGCAGCAGCAGTGCAGAGGGGGGAAGTGGAAGCTGGTGTGGTGAGGAGCAGGATTTAAGCAGGCTGCCTATGAGCACTGGATCCTCCTGCCCTGCACCCTCTCGAGAGGGGGCAGGGTGGAGCCGATACGCTCAGGAAGCCAGCTTTCAGGCAGGCTCCCTGTGCCAGGGGTCATCCTGGGATGTGAGCTCACAGGTTGCAGACTGCGCCTATGGGCGTGGACTAGAACGGTGCCAAAATATAACCTGTTTGAGATTTCATCATTTGAACACACTCGATCTGACTAGGGATGTACAAGTGTAGCCGATAAACCGATAAGCAAAAGCAAATAGGTTCATGCTAGAGACTACATGCTTCCCACCCAGTACATTTTTTTAGCAGGCTGGCCTGCTCAGCCCTGTCTTGCGATGGGTCCTGGACCTACCCCCGCTGTGGCTCAGCATTTAAAGCATATTAGGAGCCAGGCAGGGAGGCAGCCTGGCTCAGTTCTGGCTCGTGCTGGCTCCAGGAGCTCAGACTCACTCCCCCTCCCCCCCGCAGACAGGGGCTGCAGGCAGCCGGTCTGCACGGGAAGCTGGTTTTTAAACTGGCACCCCTGGTAGACCAGCTCCCGCCTGCCACCCCACACTGATACAGAAGCAGCAGCACGGGGTGGTAGCGGTTCCCTAGGAGGGAGGCCAGGAGCCCACTGGCTGCTGGCCCCACCCCCAGGGACTATTGAATAATCCTGTGACCGCTAAGATTTCATGCGGTCACACAACTATTCCGTTACATACACAATATCTAACATCCCTAGCATAGGCAGCAGGCTGTTAGTCCTGGAATGCCGCCTGTAGCAGGACTCTTGACCAAACGATACTGGTGTGCTGCCATCCCATCAAAGGGAATGTCTGGGGTGGACGCTTCTGGTCAAGGCCCGGTTCGTGGTTGATGCCCGTTTTTTCAGTGTGGCAACGTGTGTGTGTGCGCGCGTGTGTGGGGCGGGGAAAGTTTATAGCTGCTCAGCTCTTAGTCTTGTTTCTTCTACTTCCTGTCAGTGTTGTGGTAGCCTGTAACTTGCCCTCTCTCCTGCAGAACTTCGAAGTGGAGGCCGATGACTTGGTGACCATTTCAGAGCTGGGTCGTGGGGCCTACGGAGTGGTGGAGAAAGTCCGACACGCGCAGAGTGGCACCATCATGGCTGTCAAGGTGAGAACAGCATGCTGGGCTCTCCTGTGAGGGGGGGTGTGAGGATCCAACCAGCAAGGAGCCGCTAGAAACCCAGCTCCGCTCCTGTTGGCCTACCGGCTGTTGGGCTGAGGCCCTGTCTCTGGGAGAAGAGCTCCTTGGGCCCTTAGATGTGAGCGAGACCCCGCCTAGCTCCATGTGGGACTCCGCCATTCTCTTTGCTGGGGGTGGATTTTGGGAGGCTCTTCCCAGGTGAGGGGGAAGGCCCGACCAGAACCCACCTTTCTGCAGGGAATGGAGCACTGCTCCTGGAGGACATGAAGCAGACTTTGAAACTCCAGCCACTCGGACCTTCCATGTCGGCCACTTGAACGGGCAATGTTGGCCACTTGGACAATGAAGCAGACTTTGAAACTCCAGCCACTCGGACCTTTCATGACGGCCACTTGAACGGGCAGTGTTGGCCACTTGGATGTCCAAGTTCCCTTCAGGTGCTGGCATGCTTCAGTACCTACCAGGGAGTCAGCCAATGATAGTGGAGACTCTTATCCCTTAGATACCCAACTACATGTCCTTGAAATCGGGGGCCCATGCACCTCTCTAGATTAAAGTGTGGGGTAATTCTGTGCCCCTCCAGCACTGCAGATGCATAATGAAAGGCCCAGTGAAGGTTAGGCTAAAATGCAGCCCTGAAAACTCCAGGCACTTAGTGGGAGGTCTAAGGTGTCACATGTGGGCCCAAGAGCTTCACCATTGGCTCATGATTTTCCTTCCTCAGAGAATCCGAGCGACCGTGAACACTCAGGAGCAGAAGAGGCTACTGATGGACTTGGACATCTCCATGAGGACAGTAGACTGCTTCTATACAGTCACGTTCTACGGAGCCCTCTTCAGAGAGGTAACAGGGCAGCATTAGCTGTGGCGCGCTCTGGCAGCTCAGTTCTCAGTTGGCTTACGGGACGGGCTGGAATGGTTTCTTGAAGGACCCCGTATCCTCGTATTCTGTGTGGGCTGTGTGTGTGGATGGTTGGACTCCACCAGAGCACAGATCTACCCATTTTCCAGGAGTAGATCCTGGGCCACCGTACTGCATCCACAAAGTGTCAAGGAAACAGGGTGGTGGGGTGTGTGTGTCTGCTCCACTGTCCTACCTCCATGCTAAAGCTCTGGTTCAGAGCACATTGTGTCTGGCTTCTGGATCCATTCAGCAGAAGCTGCTCAGAATCTTTCCATCCACTTCACTGTACTTTGGACTGGGCCCCAAATCTGAATCCATCGTACGATCCTTGCAGCTTTGGCCCATGCGTCTTCATGCCCCAGGCAAACTTGATGCTCTGATACAGCAACAGCTGACAGGTTTGCCCACATCAAAAGGGCAGGGACTGCCACCTTGTTTTGATCTCCAGATGAGTCACTGCAAGAGAATTCCTCCGGCTCGTCTTCCTCACAAACTGTTTCTCTCGTCATCAGGGCGATGTGTGGATCTGCATGGAGCTGATGGACACCTCTCTGGATAAATTCTACAAGAAGGTGCTAGAGAAGATGATGACGATCCCCGAGGATATCCTCGGGAAGATCGCTGTGTCGGTAAGTGGCTGACGTTTGACTAGAGAACTCCGCGTGGTGTCTGTCAATATAATCCCCCTGCCCATCCCATCTCGGGCTCTGGAAGCTTGCAGTGCCCCAGTGTTTGGCACTGCAGAGGATTTAAGCATTGTGATGTTCATCTGTAGGCACGGAGACCACGCGTTGCCGGCTCTGTTGCCCTGAAGCTAATCGTACAAGCCACCTGCTTGTGCACGTGCTCGTGGCTGTTTTGCATGGAAAGGCTGCTGCTGTGAGGTTCAGTGTGTCTAAAACATTCTTTCTCTTCTGATCCCTAGATTGTGCGAGCCCTGGAGCATTTGCACAGTAAACTCTCAGTGATTCACAGAGGTAAGCAAATGCTGAGGGATTAGAATGACGTGCCTGCCCGATTCTCGCTCCCAGGAATCCGCCTTAGAAGGGCACAATTTCTGTAGGGTGCTGGGTGCGTCTGGCTTCTAGCTTCATTTTGCAGAAAGGGCTCAATCTCGAGAGGGGCTTCAAACCTCAGGGCCTGACCCTGATGTTTTGCACTCACTGAAGTTGTTCCTTACAACCCACCACAGGATTCTGTGCCTTTTTCTCCTTCCCCGTTTGAATATGTTCACAATTGCATTTCCACATACTTCTGACTCTTAACCTCAGTTCCTGAGCATAAATTGCAGACTGCTGTTAGAAAAATGCCTTCCGATTCCTAGCAGCTGGTTGAAGGATGAACTCGTGGTTAAAACTCTGGGACTGCAAGTCAGGAGACCTAGGTCCTCTTCCTTGTGGTGTTGGAGTAGACACACAACCATGGGCAAGACACTTAATCTGTGCTTCAGGATCTGTCTGCCACTAAGGAGGTAGAGCAGGGGTGGGCAATAACTTTTGCCTGGGGGCCATTTCAAAAATTTTTGAAGTAGCCCCAGACCAACCTGGAAGGGGTGGGGCCTAAATGGGAAGGGGTGGGGTTACCCCACTCCCAGACCATGATTGCCCCCCCCCTTCCCACTAGGTACCCATGCCCTGGAAGAGGCTTTGCATGCTCCTCCACCCCCAGGCCAATCGGGACCTGGGGGTGGGGGAGCGCGGAATACCTCCTCCCGCCCTGCAAGGAGCCTGTGGCACTTTGAAGTGCTGCGGGCTCCTCACAAGGCTGGGGCAGGGTGAAGGAAGCTTCACGCAGCTCCCCCGCCCCCAGGCCCTGATCGGCTTGGGGGTGGGGGAGCACGCGAAGCCTCCTCTGGTTCCCCCTCCTCTCCCCCTGCCCTGCGAGCAGTGCACGGTGCTTCAAAGCACCACATGCTCCTGGCAGGGCGGGAGGAGGCTTCGCATGCTCTCCCGCCCCCAGGCCAATTAAGGCAACTTTGAAGTGCTGCTCACAGGGTGGAGGCAGAGTGGAGAAGGCCTCCGGCGCTCCCCCGCCCCCAGTCCTGGTGATGGAGGAGCAGCAGAGCCTCTGAAGGCCAGATCCACCCCCATTGGTGGGCCGGATCCAGCCCGCGGAGGCCTTTTTACCCACCCCTGCGGTAGAGGCTTAGGTCATTGTACTGGGGAATAAGATGCTGTAGAAGTGCGAAGTGAGCTAAAAATAAGAGTGAATGATATTGAAATCCAGGGTCTGTGGAGTGTTTGAGTTCTGGTCTTATTTCCTTTGGCTTATCCTCTCCCCCTTGACTCAGCAAGGATTCCCTGCAACGTCTCTAAGCAGCTAGAACATTGACTTTATGGTTGTAAGCCTCCTGAACTCTGTAGCCCACTTCTTTTGAGCTTTCTAAACTGAAGGCGTAATCCGCTCCTCCTCTCTAATCCTGTTAGATGTGAAGCCTTCCAACGTCCTCATTAATAAGGAGGGACACGTGAAAATGTGCGACTTTGGAATCAGCGGCTACTTGGTGGACTCGGTTGCTAAGACTATGGATGCTGGCTGCAAACCCTACATGGCTGTAAGTGCGTGAGAATGCATGCTCTGGTCCGGCATCATGAGACGGCATTCTGCCTTGGGTCAGCTGGGGATGGGTCTGTCCCCTCCCTAGCGCCTAGTTTTAAGTAGGAACAGAATGGGGGAGTTCGAACACAAGCTGCCTGCCCTGAAATGGAACCGGTCCCGGAATGTTCCCCGGAGGCCCCGATTCAGCAAAACACTTAAAACACTTGATTAACGTGCAGCATGTAATTGGCCCTACGCAAGTTGCTGTGCAGCCATATAATTGAGTCAGTGGGATACTCATGTAGTTAAGCGTGGGCTGTGTTGGCTTGGACACAAAGTGTTGTCACTGTAACCCAAGTTACTCCCCTGCCATCTTTGGTCCTTAGAATAGCACAATCGTCTTAGCAGCCTGGCTGTTGGCAGCAGGTGCCTGTTGGCTGGCTGGCTCCTCACTGGTTAGGGACTTCGTGGGCTGACCTTGCTAGTTAGCTCATGAGGATTGTTTCACTGTTTTGCATGGTCCTCCCAGCTTTCCACAACCGCCCCCTCCCTCCCGCTGTTGCCGCCTCGTCTTATGTACTGACTGTAAGCTCCTTGGGGCAGGAACTGTCCTTTTCTCTGGTGCTTAGCACCCTGACCGCCACCATATCCGATAACAGTGGCAATTCCAGGAGAAGCCATTAGTGGGAGGTGGCACGTGGGGAAAGAACATTAGCAAAATCACTCACGTTCATCTGAGGAAGTGGGTTTTGCCCACGAAAGCTCATGACACTTTATATGTAGTTGTTAGTCCTGTGGCACTATACAGACTACTCCTTGTTAAAATTAAGTTGGATAAAGTTGCTTAAGACGTTGCTTTGGTCAGTCACATTTAGAGACCACCGTTCTTATTCGCTAACATCAGTGCCTGGGGAGCCCACCCAGGCTGGGTTTCGTAGTCCAGGATAATACACTAGTAGGCGTCTGTCTGTCTTCTATGCTGGGAAAAGGACAGTTGAGTTGCACTAACTTCCATCTCGTTGCTGCAGCCAGAGAGAATAAACCCGGAGCTGAACCAGAAGGGGTATAACGTGAAGTCTGATGTCTGGAGTCTTGGCATCACAATGGTAAGGGTGCGCGCACTGTGGTCTGGATGACAAGGTGGGGGAAGGCAGAGGCAGCTGGATCTGGCTTCTAGCCTGGTCATGCTTAACGTGTTTTGGAAGCTCCCACCCCAGGAAGACACATTCCAGTAGAGGCCAAATCCTGAAGTCTTACTCGGGCCAGTTCCTGTTCACTACAACAGGAGCATGACTGGATGAGGGCACGGTAGAGTCCTCAAGTATTGGCCCTCAACAGGCTGGCCAGTCTCTGTACTTTCCCCTGTACCGCTGTTTTACTGCTCGTGGTTTTCACAAGTGCCTTGTGCAGCATCCAAGCCACTCCCCTGCTCCAGGGGGTCTTCAATTCCTTGGCAGAACACTGAAAACGTCAGGCTGGGCTGTAGACTCCTTGGGTATGTCTAGACTTCATGCCTCTGCTGGCAGAGGCATGTAAATTAGACTACCCGACATAGTCAGTGAAGCAGGGATTTAAATATCCCCCGCTTCATTAACATAAAAATGGCCGCCGCGTAGTGGCGGCTCAGCTGATCGTCGACACAACGCGGCAGTCGAGACGCGGATTGGTCGGCAAGGAAAGCCTTTGCCGACCGATTCTGTAAACCTTGTTTCAGGAGGCATAAGGGATCGGTCGACAAAGGCTTTCCTTGCCGACCAATCCACGTCTCGACTGCCGCATTGTGTCGACTATCGGCTGAGCCGGCACAACGCAGCAGCCATTTTTATGTTAATGAAGCGGGGGATATTTAAATCCCCGCTTCACTAACTGTCGGATAGTCTAATTTACATGCCTCTGCCGGCAGAGGCATGTAGGCTAGACATACCCGTTGTGTTCAGGCTGGCTCTGCTGATGCAGAGGGTGCTGCTTGTGTGAAGCCAATTACAGCCCTGCCTGCCCTCTAGTTTCCCTCTTGTCAGTTGGGGGCATAGCTTCCATAGCAGGTTACGAGGAACATGGTTCAGTTGATACCTAGGTGACAGCCTTTCTGCCAGCGCAGCTATTTGTGCCATGTGACTGATCTGTGTAGCAGTGCATTCTGGGAATATCAAACCAGGCCATAGTGCCTGGACATGCAAACAGAGCAGCCTGTGGGTCACTACAATGTGGGATATCCCACTTGACAGAGAGGTAGGAGGGAGGAGGGCCAGGCAAACTGGTTACAGAAAGCACAGCTTTTGGGGCCTGGGTGTTGCAAGACGTGAGTTGCGCCCATCTCAAGACATCTAACTAGGGAGGGTGGGGAACACACAGCTCTGATGATATTAAGCCACATGATGTGTGGACACGGAAGGTTTCGAGCCAGTTATGATGCTAACTGGCTGCAAATTGGATTCATAGTAGTGGCAGCGGCTTTGGGTAGCTTATCTGCCAAGTGTAAGAAGCTTTTGTTTTCAGTGAGCATCTGAACCCTCCTGGCACCGCAGGGCAAAGGAAATCCCTGTTCTTGGCTCAAAGAAGCTAACTCCTGGGAAATGTTTTTTCCCTTTCCAAGAGAAGGAGAGACTGAGTGGGTAGAATTTTTTTTTTTCTTTCAGGATTTCCCCCAAGCTTTTAGCAGGTATAGTCCATTAAGTTTCAGAGGGGTAGCCATGTCAGTCTGAGTCTGCAAAAGTGACGAGGCGTCCTGTGGCACCTTATAGACTAACAGATTTATTGGAGCATACGCTTTCGTGGGCCAAGACCCACTTCGTCAGATGCAAGTTTGTGCATGCTGCCTTAGCAAATGGTCTCTCCCTGTCCCTCACAACAGCAGCAAAACCCCCGCCACAGCCTCCAGTTCTTGCCTCTTCTTCCTATTGGACTTTGCATTCAGTCTGGAGTTGAGCTGAGCTGACGGGACATCTGTGCAGCAGCCTGGAAATGCGATCATGTTTCAGTTTTCCTCCCCACAGGCAGGAAGCCGTGCGACCTGAGATAGTACAAATGAGGAAATCGATTCTCTCATTTAAAAGCCACAGGGAGGGTTCTGCTGAAATCCTGCCAGCGGGCAGCTGATTGCTCTCCCCCCTCCCTCCCACCGGCCCCTCCCCTGGGTGATTCTTACTAATATCTTCCTCTGGGCTGGCTTCCTGTTTTTGTAACCTAAGGGGGCTTGATGACTCCAGACCAGCACCTTTTCAAGATAGTTGGCCAGCACTCGGTTGGGGCTTTCTGTGGGTGGGTTGCAGACAGGTTTCCGGCAGCAAGGGTCAGAACCCAGACTGCTCATCAAACATGAGACCGGAGCATCCTGCTGCATTGTATGCCCGGTGCCCCTGCGGGGAGTCCATAGAGAGCTCTTTGAGGGCTTGTTCCTGCCTTCCCATCCTTGCATGTGCCAGCTATTTAGTGACTCTTCCACTTGTACCATTCCTGGCTGAGGGCAGTAATGAAACCTGTGTAACGAGGTGCCAACCCCGCCGCCCCTTGCCGCACCACGTAGAATTTTTACAGGGCATCTCTCGTGGTAGCTAAGGACAGAAACAGCAGAAGCTAAACTTTGCCCAGCTTGCATCGGGCTATGAAATCAGCTAGACTCTGGCTTCTACGCATTCCAAACCCTCCTGGGGCTCGCTCTGCCACAGGACTGCTGAGTTCTCCTTTAGGAACCAACCGCACACGCTCCCTGACTGACCTTAGCTACAGAGACTGGGTGTGTGGTGATGTACCTTAAAGGTACAGCTGCGGCCGTGACCAGCAAGGCAAGAGTCTGGAGATTTTTATTGGCTTTAAAGAGGCAGCCTAGTTTTGACCAAGAACGCTTGAAGTTATGCGGGCCAGGGTACAGGTGGCTGAATCTTCCAATTCTGGGCATAGGCCTATCACCCAAGAAACACCCTTTCTCTGTGTGATCAGTGTTACGTGGTGCCACTGGGTGCCTGGTAGATTTTGCTTTCCTCTGAATCATGCAGCAAAGACTGCTGATAAAAATAGTAGGTCCAAGCTGGCGCATAGCTGCTTCTCTGCTAACTAATTCTCTTCCATTGGCTTTCCTGTTCCATGGGCTGTACTTTTTGTGTAGTAATATTCCCAGTGGGGGATAGTGTAAATCTCAGGAGGGTGTCAGGAACTGGAAAAGATGCCCAGATGCAACACTGAAAATGGGCAGAGTAATACTTAGAAATGCCTTGGCAAAGTATATGGCAAAGTAGCTCAGAAATACCTTGTGTTCGGCTTAGAGAACCTTAAGAAAATTCCTGTCTTTCGGCATGTCCTAGGAACATACAGAATATATGTGGCTGAGAGGCCAAAACTGAAGGGGGAAAAAAAGTGTTGTGGAAAAGCATTTTGACTTCTGGCTTCATTTTTATAATGAAAAAACTGGAAAATGTTAGCAAGAAATCTTCATTTTAAAGTTCATTTAAAAATCTTACTGGTTTAAAAAACTGGAAAATGTTAGCAAGAAATGTTCATTTAAAAATCTTATTGTTTTTTTTTTTGTTTTTTTTCTGCCCACTGAAACTCTGCTAGCCATCAGGGCCTGGGGTATTCCTGGGGGCTGTCAGTCTGAAGCTGGTATTGCTGCATGTCCAGGAGTCTGAGTCACCACTCAGCAGCCCGTTTTCCTAGGTGCTGTACAAACCCAACACAGACTCCCCACTTCAGAGAATTAGCAATCTGAGGATATGACTATTCCACACTGCCAAGGCCTCATGGCTGCCTTTTCTCTCCCTTGCCCCCCTAGATTGAGATGGCCATTCTCCGCTTCCCTTACGAGTCCTGGGGCACCCCCTTCCAGCAACTCAAGCAAGTGGTAGAGGAGCCTTCGCCCCAGCTCCCTGCTGATCGCTTCTCAAAGGAGTTTGTGGACTTCACAGCACAGTGGTGAGTGTCTAAGCTGAGCCCCATCCATCTCCTGCCTGAGGCCTCCCTATGTTGAATGCTCGTCTCTTGTACCAAAGCACCAAACGTACCTTTACTCTGCCTCAGGACACCACCTCTGTAAGTCTTTCCCATCTCCTCATCCCGAATGACCAGCCACCTGCAATCTGTGCAGCAAACGCTCCGCAGATGGGTGCGGGTTCCTGCCCGTCGTCGCTGGACTGGCTGTAAAGGGCTCTTGCTCTTGTGCTTTGTACGGTTTTCACTAGGGATGTTAAATTTTTATTAATCGACTAATCAAGTACTTGATGGGGGGGGGGGAGACTGACTTTTAAGCTGGGTCCCACTGGCTCCTGCTCCCCCCTTGCTGCCTCTCTGATAGAAGCAGCAAGTGGGGGCGGGGGGGGAAGCAACTAGTAGAATGACTACTCAATTATCCAGTAAGCTTATCAGGTAGTCGACTACTTGACTAGTCACTTGCCTCCCTAGTTCACGCTGTTGAAATGTCAGTGGGGACTTGTTCCGCTGCAGGCACCCAGCCCAGAGCGACTGGCTGTAGCATCCTGGTGCATCTACCGCCCAATGCTGCCTTGGGCTGCCGCTTTGAATTGGGTGAAGGCTGAAGTTGGCTGTCTCAGCTGGGAGTCTTCACCTGCTTTGGCCACTATTTTAAGCTGAATCTGCCCCTTGAATCTGCCAGCTCTTGGCTGGGCCTGTGGTTCTGGAATAGGTATTAGCAGGGCTTGACAAACCGCTGCATCTACTCGCCCATGGCGAGTAGATTTCAGCCGGTTGCGCTGCGAGCCCCATTCACTGGCACTTCGCACATGCGCAGTGCAGGGCTGGTGAGTGCCTTTCACCGGGGTTTGTCTAGCCCTGGGTATTAGCATGCAATATCTTCCCGGTTGGGTGGTACCGGTTCTGGAATAGGTATTAGCAGGGCTTGACAAACCGCTGCATCTACTCGCCCATGGCGAGTAGATTTCAGCCGGTTGCGCTGCGAGCCCCATTCACTGGCACTTCGCACATGCGCAGTGCAGGGCTGGTGAGTGCCTTTCACCGGGGTTTGTCTAGCCCTGGGTATTAGCATGCAATATCTTCCCGGTTGGGTGGTACCAGACCCCCTTCTCTTGGGCATATTTTGTGCCTGTTCTGGCCACACCCTGATTACCAGGCTGTGTGCTGTCGGACAGCACTCTCCTATTTGCCTGCCTCATTGATTTGCTAGGCGCTCTGGTTCAAAGCCAACACTTGCATAATCCAAGAGAATGAAGAACTGGGAGTTGCCGGATGGAAAGAAGGGGATGCTGGCTTAGAGGTTTCCCCCTTCTCTCCCATCTTGAGATGCTGGTTAGTCCATGGACAGCAAAGATGAAGCCACCGTGTCATGAGCCATTTTATTTTTCTGTTCCAGCTTAAGGAAGAATCCTGCGGAACGAATGAATTATTTAGAACTTATGGTGAGCCTGGATTTTTATTTTTTCATG